GACGTATTCCGTAATGCCACGTTTGAGCTCCACATGCCAACGCATTAATGTCACGACAGACACTTTAATACCAGTATAAAATTCAAAACATTGAGACAAACATAATTTTGACACTGATAACGCGCCATATTTTTCTTAATGTACGTAGAGTGGAATGCGAGTATCAGTGCCCGCTAAATTTTTGCACTACTTTCAGCATATAATTATAGTGGTCATTAAACTGCTTGTGTGGTCATTGAACTACTGGCGTGGTAATATTGAACTGTTGGGTGGTCATTAAACTGATTGTCTTTTCTCAACTGTGCACACAAAAGACAAAAAAAAAAAACGAAAAAAAAAAAGAGGATTCCAGTGCCCTAAAGACGAGTGTTACGCCGCAAAATGTAACAATTGACGCAAAATGTAACATTAACGCGAAATGTAACAACTTTTGATGCGAAATGTAACATTAACCCGAAATGAAACAACTTTTGACGCAAAATGTAACAACTTTTTATCGCGAAATGTAACAACTTTTTGACGCAAAATGAAACAATATTTTTAACGCGAAATGTAACAAGCAAAATGTTACAGCCTTGAAATAACTGAGAGACTTGGACATGAGCCTTGTAGATAAAGTGTCAATTGTCTAGTGCTTACAAAAACAGTTTGCTAAATAGAGAATGTTGTAAGTCATTCTCATGGTTTATTATCAAGAGGTCTGAAAAGATTGATTCGATACCATTAATGAAGATTAATGAAGAAAATACGGAACATCCACTGCCTCTTATTGAAGTACTTATGTGGGTTAATTGAATTCAGTGCGGCAATTACAGTAAATTGGGGCCCGCTAAATTGACCAATCACAGCGCGAGCACGAACTAAGAAAATGGCTCAACTACATGTATACTGATAAACAATGATTCTCCAGCAATATTGGAGTGTAGACCACAATAGGTAAGTATTGTGCAAGGAAATTGTTTTCCATGCATATTGTACACGTCGAAGACATTTAGTGCAGGTCATAGGCTTTATTGATGTTATCTGATTCACAGCAAATAGAAACCAGCTCACATATAACACTTTTGTTGTATCTAACCTTTGTTTACATATTTCCATCTTTATAACTGGTAAAAGGCAAAATCCTTTTGCATGTGAAAAAGCCTTCTCTGGTAAACATGTTCATTTTGTGGCCGATCATAGGAAGCTCTTGTATTTGTATCCCTGTGGCAAAGAAAACCGAAAGGACGCGTCCATGTCCTCACACTTTATCTGGAAAAACCAAACGACCAAAAAAAAGACACTGCCGAGTTAAAACACAGTTTTATTCCAGTTTTACCTAGTACCTCAAAATCCTTGAATCTATTCCTGTTGGGCAGGTAACTGTTCTTGTGATCATCTGGAATGCCGTGTTTTAGCTCTTACGACTCTATTTGCTTTTTTTAAAATAGATCTAGACAGGTCTCTTTTTTTGTTTTGGTCTGGTTATGAGGTAGCCAGGGGACGTATTTCTGTAAACATGACTGGTAAACTTGTATTTTTCTCTTTAAAAGCCGAACTGTGCTTCCTTGCCAAACATGTTTGCCTGAGATTTGCACGTCATTTCAACTACAAGCGTATTAAATTATATTCTCAAAGGCACAACGCTACAACAATAATCATGCAGTTTTTTATATAAATGACGTTACTTGACCGAAGCATTTTTATTAATTTTAATGTTTTTTTGGGTTTTTGGTTCCAGTGCAAGACTGAAAAGCTGCAAAGCTAAAATGTAAGAGCAAAATGGCTCAGGTCAAACCAAGTTTACGGTGGCACCGGTCAGGCCTAAAGGGTGGATAAGATTTGCCTCATTCTTACATCACAACAAATAGATCATTTTCCTTTTAGACCCGATGATATCACGAGCAAGCAATAACTCATTCACCAGCCTCCTGCTTGTTTAATTAACTACAATTGCCAGGAGTAAAATGATACCGGAAAGATGACCAAATCCAAACAGTGCCACATTATTAATATCGTATTTTGGTTTTCCCAGACCCATGAAAAACTTGATAAATGTTTCCATAAATTATATACTATATCCTTTACCAGCTTAGCACTTGAATTTATATTGCAATGAAATATAGGTCATTGCAGATTAAAAGTGCTGTTTATTTGTCGCGCTAGAACCTTATGAAATGTGTTGTCAAGCCCAACGATCGTAGCATGAAAAAAAAAATTGATGTTCTTATCTTACGTCAGTAAGTTAAGCGCGGTTACATGCTATCCATGCTTGGCGATCATGCTTGCCTCTAGAAAAAATTCTACCAGAAAGACCTGAATGACATTGTTACAGGTTTTAGCGCAACAAGCTTAAGCTACTTATACTAGGCGATAAAATAGACATAAAATTAATGTAAATATAGTAATGTTTAAAGTTGTCAAGCATATAATTAGTTCTAGACCAACCTGAGAAAATCGTACGTCCTACAAACAAATACTCTTTATAACTAAGCAATTTTACTTTTCCTATGTGCAAATCTTTCCCAGGAAGTAATAATGAATTATTAAAAATCCTGACGGGAAAAGCACAAGAGTAGTAACATTTGCTTCACCCGTCTTTTGAATTAAACTGTGTTTCCTTGCAAACTCAATTGGAAGTTCTTTGCCACTGATTTAAAACTTCCACAATCATAAAGTTAACTACAACACTCAAGGCTACAATCCTACAACGGGTGTTTATGGTTGGCATGCATAATGAAACAACTGATAGTTTCTGGTGATAAACAAACAAACAAACAAAAACAAACAAAAAAAAAACACTTCCTTGAGGTAAGCACAACGATTTCAGTTCAAAATCCAGTTAAAATAAGATTACTATTAGTGAAAAGGAATTCTGGAAAATAAAAGGAATTAATCTAGGCTCTATTGTCGGTCCATTGAACGTTGGATACAGGTTTCCGACTCTAGTTTGAGAAGTCCTAAACGAAAGACCCCGACAAATTCTCCTTAAGCAAAAGACATTAGTGAATCAACTTATGCATTTGAAGAATTATAAATTCAGTTGTAAACAAGTTAAGCTAAGAAGCTAAGAAAGCGGGTACTTAAAAGGTGATCGGTTTGACGTTTGGAAACTTCACTAAAATTTCCACTATGGCATTGCCACTTTGTTTGACATTTCGATCGGAGAAGAAAAACTCAGTTTTGAGAAAACGAAAGATCTCTGCTCGTATGTTTCCACTTAGCTTAAGTTAGGAAGGTAAAGAAAATAACTTTAAAGTGAACTTTTAGTGAATAGCTGAAAATAAAAATTAAAATAAAAATAGAATAGCAGTTGGATCGATCTACTCCATCTGAGAGATTCCAGAAAATTTAAGATGAAGTATCACACTTGGTTTGAGACGGACAGCCATTATATTGTCATTGCCGCATTGTGCGAACCTAAAGTGATTTGTCCTCTGCTATGAGGTAAGTTTTGTAGGAAAATTCTCAAATTAAGATTCAGGTGTTTCGAGTGTCGTTCTGTAGAACCGGACTACACTTAAGTCTGTAAGTCTCAAATCTTATGCATCTACACTCATCTCACTAAGCTTAAAACCACCTAATTTCATTTGAACTGATCAACGAAAACTATTAGTACAGTGCAACCTGTATGTGCGACCACATTTCGCAAGCGACCAGCTCCCATAAACGACCACTTATCCGAAACACCAAAATTTTCCCATTCACAGCCTTTTAGTTGGAATTTTTCGTAATCGAACGCAATCACTTTTTAGCATGACAATTTAAGAATTTTTCACTGTTCTTAACCTGTTTAAGCAACTGCTACCTGGTACAATGGTCTGATCTTTGTGTTCCCTGTATGTATGGTACTGCGCTACTCAGAATGTGAGCAGAAGTTTTAGAGAAAAAAAACAACATGGATTTACATATACTGTAACCTTAGAATGCAGTGCAATGTATTCTTCCAAAAACTTAGATGTATCCGAACTTCTCAGTCCTGACAAAAGACCTCCTTTGACTCTCATAACTGACCACATCATGGAAGCGGCTACTTATTCTTCGCAATTTAGGGGGTCACTTACGGGAGGTTTGATTGTATAGGTTAAATTAGAGTTAGTTAAGACCCATTACCATTATCAATAAATTATACTGTTAAATATCTTGTACAACTTGGATAAGTTGTAACTTAGAACCAAGGTTGCTGTCAGTAAGAGGAAATATCCCTACTCATAACATTTACTGACTCAAACTAGAGAATGATTTCAATCCTAATTCATGATTCTAGACCTTACTTTACCTAACGCTAGATAATCTATTTTCATCCTTTTTTATGGAGAAAGAAGACGTCGTGGAACTTCATTTTTAACTCGTCAGACACGTTTATATACTTAGGGTCGGTTATTCAGTAAACGGAGTCTAATTTAGGCCGCGGTTTAGCAAAGCTTTGTCCCTCCAAGCAGATATCTTCCTCTGTGGGTTATTTTAAGAGAATAAGTGCTTTTCCAGTACACACCTCATGATCATGCTTTCATGAAACCTTTCACGATAAAAAGTGTTAAGAAAAAAGCGTTGAGCAAACTGAAAATTGATGAGAACACGGTTTTACACCAGCTAAACTCCGTTTAAATAACTGGCCCTAATTAGAGTTTGGTTTCGTAAGTTTCTCTTGGAGGCTCATGAATAACCACCTCTACAATTGTCTGAACGCCCTGTTCAATGCTTTCCTCGTCAGTTGTTGTGTCCTCTTTTTCACTTTCTTCATCATGATCTTTAAGAGTAACATCAAATGCCCCACTCTCCCTTAAAGTACTAGCACAGATCACCTTTGCAGTTGTCAAAACGCCCTGTTCAATGGTTTTCTCGTCAGTTGTTGTGTCCTCTTGTTCACGTTCTGCATTGTGATCTTCAAGAGTAACATCAAATGCCCCACTCTCCCTTAAAGTACTAGCACAGATCACCTTTGCAACTGTCAAAACGCCCTGTTCAATGGTTTTCTCGTCAGTTGTTGCCTCCTGTTCTCGTTGTACACTATGATCTTCAAGAGTAACATCAACTGCCCCACTCTCCCTCAAAGTACTTGCAATGGTTGGCAACTCGATGTCACCAGTTTGCAGTTGCTGATTTAGTATGTTTTTCCCACTTAATCCGCGTATCTCTCCTTGTAGTTGATTAAGTGGCAATAGCAAGGCCAGGCAGCAGGAGAATGACCACTTTGGATGCTTGCGCCATTCTTTTACAAAGTGGTAAAGATACACCAGATATTGCACTGAAACAAAATAAACACTCGTTGAAATTAAAACTTGGCCTTTATAGATCCAATTTATATTAACCTTTCATCACAGAGGAAAGACCTGAAGGCGGTTACTTGCACGAGAACAGTACAATGGTGATAATGACTAAAAAAACTATCTGTTTTCACAAAAAGCCTTGAAAGAACTGATTTAATAATTAAAGGTAAAATACCCGAAGTGCTAAAGAAGTAAAATAATATTGCAGAATGTTTTGAAACAAAGTTTGAAGGTACCTTACTATGTTGTTAAACCTTTAAGTCCCAATAGTGACCAACATCAATTTTCTCATAACGATAGACATACATTGTCAAGAGATTAGGTTATGAGAATTAATAAAATGATCAGCTAAGAGAAAATGTTTGATCTTTTATGAAATTCTCTGAACTCATTCCTTAAGGAAATATATAGAGATCCGTTTGGAGAATTTGTATGTGGATATTGGGACTTAAAGGGTTAACCCTTTCTCGGATCATATCACGGTACGGTACGATCACCATCAGAGTGTCTTTTTTTAAATTCCTCGTGTTTACCTTTCATTTGTTCTTCATTTGCTGTGCCACAAAGTCAGTAACTGTATACGGGGGATTACTACAATATTATCATCTAATTGGTGATAAAAAGGTATATCACGTGGAAATCGTTTAACATTTTTCTAATTCAAGTGAAGCGTTCATGGTAATACATTAAAAAAAAAAAATAGAAAACTTCATAATTTAGAAATAAACTCAGAGGTCATTACATTATTTTATTTCAAAAGTACCGAGATTGACTCTAAACAAAGCAAAACCAACCTGACTGGTGTCAAACGGTTTTTCTCACAAGTGAAAAATGTTGTATGAACAATTACGCGCCGCATACGAAAAAAATTCTCAAAACAACAAAGATGGTATCGGTTATTCCGCTTTTTAGAGCGTACATACATACACACATACATACATACATACAACTTTAATTAAGTGTAATTAGGTCTTCTAGCATGCCTAAGGAGGCCCACTAACACAATCGGGGATACTTTTACGTGAAAATTAGTTATTACAGTATAATATTAAGATTTATTACCATAGCTAAACTAATTATTTCAAAAATTGTTAACATATAAATGTTATTAAAAGTAATTAATAAAAGATATCGGCTTCTGAAAATCCAGTTCAGTCCAAATCTGGATTAATTATAAACTATCTAAGATGAAGGTTTCTAAAATAAAATAATCTTATTGCAATACTTCACAGCTACTTTTAAACTGACGTAAGTCATGCATAATTAACATCCCTTACATGTTTCTTCTTGAATTAACCCCCCCCTGCCCCCTCCAAGTCCTTTTTCTTTATGCTGTCTATGATTTTCTTTAATGATATCTCGTTTCTATCGCTCATACCTAACTTTGACCGTTAAGTAGGGTCGAAAAACCTAAGTTAGTGTTTTCCGTACGTAACAGTTCTTGCTCTTGGTATATAATAATCTACCTGTGAGCGACGAAAGAGTTGCGATGTATTTGTCGGTAATAATGTTTTGTTGATTTTAAACATAAAAATGGCAATATCCTGTAAACTCATTTTAATTAAGCTAGTTTTACCAACAAGTGCAAGCATATCACTGTTCGTAGAGGAATGAACTAAGAAGACCTTTCCAAGGCCTATTTGATTTGGTCGTGATTAAAAGTAAAAAAAACGAAAAAGAACTTTCGTTATATCTTAGTACTCATTTAATTAGCAAATTACTTCAGATTATCACTGCTTTGGTTCGCTCAGTACAACTCGTGAATCGGACGCACTCATTAATTATGAAGTAAGGTATGTATCTTTCATTGCAAGAACTTTTACCAAGTTAATCAGTCTGGTGCCCAATTAAGGTATGAACCTGACTGTTAAATGTAAAGGGATTGTGTGACAGAAGAATAGAATGCATGATGATAACTTACCGACAAGGATTCCAATAACCAAGGTGTTGGCAACAAAGACCAAGCCATTGAACACCAGAGTATCCACGACTGGGTCGACTGTTGTCGAAAAACCTTCACTTGGGATTGTGCTCACGGCTCCTATTGCAAGGTTTACGAACGTAACGGCAAGTGAAGACAGCATAAGGTTGTTTTCGAATCGATCACTTATGGGCTTTTTTAGCCCGAAATACATCCCGTACAGTCCAGATAAAAGCAATGCTAGCGCAATGTAAGCTCTGCTCTCGCCACCAAGAAGGATCAATCCAGATGTCAAAATAACCTTTCGAACTGTCTCCACTAGTTCCCAATACCAACAACGGGGGTCGTAGTTTTCGTGTAAGAAGCGCAGTCCTGATTGTTCGGTGCCTTGGTCTTCAAAATCATTTGTGTCGTTTCTTGTTTCTTCCCCAGTTTTCCTCGCCGCTCTCTTTTGTTTCCAAATTGCTATGAAAGCAGCAGCAGGCAGAACAATAACATACAAAATGGAACAGTATCCCACGATGACTAATCGGTTATATCTCTCTCCTTTGCAGTCAATGCTGTAGTCGGCCTTTAAATACTTCTCGCAGCTTTCAGCATCTTTTTGGTCAACGCAGATCCTGTGGCAGGCAAGAGGTACGACTTGAGCAGTTTTTAGGCAAGTGTTCAGATAGGTCACGTAAAGAAAGAAAAACAGATTTCTCTTTACGATCGCTTTAATGCGCTCCTTTTTCTTCCTTTTTTCTTCTTCATTCGACATACGTCGTGTCGATATCCAAGTGGCAAGGGCGAGGCTAGAAAGGGCGACGATGACTGCTGCAATATTAAATCCCATAACTGCAAATAAACTTGTGAATGCGTCAAATTTAAAGCCAGGAAGGATGCAGTGGAGGGGAGCTATCTGAACGATGTTCATCTGAATAATCTCGGAATATTCTCCAACAACGGAAAGACTTCCAGGCCATTTTACGTATGAAAACGCCTCCATGATCCCATACAGCACCTGATAAAAGCCAATCACAACTTTAATCTTTCCGAGGAGCTTGTCAAGGAAAGGTCGTCCAGCGTCTTTTTTGCTCTTTTTCTTGCTTCCCCACACCACAAGTATAACAAATATTATAACTAACGCCCCAATAATTGCAAGCTGTCCAATCATCCATCGTTTTGTTGGGCACAGCTTACATTTCTTCAGTTGTTTGTGATATCCATCGCTGCAAACTGCACATAGCGGTCCTTCATAACCAGCCTCACATGAAGAATTTAAACCTCCCTTACAAGCTTCTGCCATGGGACATCTGTACGGTTGAGGTATGGTGTACGGGTATTCAATACCGGAATCATTTGCTTTTAGGTGTAATTCAGGAGTAAAGGAGAAATTCTTTAGGTTTTTACTGAAGTTTCTGTACTGTTCTAAGTGTGTATCATCTTTCCACCTCCACCAAAAGCCAACTGTAAGATTCGCAAAATCATCGTGACAATTTAGTCCCTGTTTCTTCTCACATGGTGTACAATTCCCAAACAGATTCGTTCGGTAGTAATTATCCAAGCATTTACAGGCGCGAAATCCCGCAAATGCATATTGGTCAGTGCCTGTCAAACAAAAGAAATCGAAACCATTGTTAGGGAGATGATTGCATAAATAATTAAAATAAGGTTAAATAGTTTTTTCGGCAAGCAAGTTTTTTCTTTGTTGCTGTGCTTTCCTTTTTTAACGCGTGCTTAAAAAAGGACTTAGTAAGAACTAAATAGTAAATAATAATTTATTATTTATTAGGTGCAAAATAGCAAATATATGATCAAATGCGCAGTAACAAAAAGTAAAAATAAAATAGAATAAAAACAGATAATAAACAAATAAATAAATAAAACCCCTAAAAATTTAGTATAAATCTCTCTATATATACAATTAAAAAGGCAATTATAAGATTCGATTAGAAAATATATTGAAACTAAGTAATTGACATCATCTTAAAAACGTTAATCGACAAGTCGTTCATGAGTCTTAAAACTATAAATCATAGGCTTCTTTAAAAAGTAAAGTTTTCAGCTTGGCTTTAAAAGGCTTCAAGCTTCTTTCCATCCTTAATGCACTTGGAAGTTTGTTCCATAGAGTCGGCGCAGCCACTTGGAAAGCCCTGTCGCCTAAGGTCTTTTCAGACTTGAACTTCGGTGGAGCAAGTAACAGTTCATCATTTGACCTAACTCGGGTTGTAGGAGGACTCCTCCATGACTTCGATTAAACTTTGTATATAATATGGAACCAGTCCGTGTATTGCTTTAGATGTTATAAGTATCACGTTGAATTTAATCCTGACACCTACTGGTAACCAGTGCAACTGACACAGTACAGGTGTGATGTGAAAAAACCGCGGAGTATTTGTATTAACTTGGCAGCCATATTCTGAAGACGCTGTAGCTTATTGATATTATTTGTTGCGAGACCGTAGAGTAAACTATTACAGTAATCCACGCGCCCCATTACCAGTGTATGAACCAAACATCTGGTTGAATCCAACGTTAAGTATTTCCAGATCTTTCTTATATTGTACAGATAGTAATAACCTGCACAACATGTTTCGTAATTTGAGCATCAAACTTCAGATTTTGATCAAACAGAACTCCAAGATTTCGTGCAGGACTAGCAGGACAGGAGTACCCGACGGAGCCGCTCGACAAAAAACCCGCTCGTCAGGCAGAATTTGAGCTAGCTGGGAAAAAAAACCTTGGCAAATTAGCTGGCTGGGAAATCTGAATGAGCGCCTCGCTAGCTGAAAATATGAAAACTTCATGCTGGTTCTGGCTGGATAAAAAGGTATATTTTTTCTCCTGGCAATCGCACTGTAATTTTTTATATGGATATTAGAGCGAGCGAAGCAAGTAAGTGCGCGTGAAAATCACCCCACGAGGGCTGTAGAAATGACACCTTTTGCCTGTAAAAACGGAAATTTGTTTGGGTGTGTAAGCAAAACGTCCTGCTGTGAATACCTTGTAAAAGATACACGTAGTGAGAAAATGACACAGTTGAGTCAAGCACCGCTCACCGCTTTGTCTTTTATAGTCGTTTCGCTGTCGATCCTTTATAGAAAACACTTTTGTGTGTTCGTGTTTTAATATGCCTGTCTACATATCAGCTACTGGCCTACGTTCACACATGCACGGCAACCTGACAAAGAAACACAACCGTTTTGCTTACCTTTTGGCCGCCTTAACATCAGGTTTAAGGTAGAACTGTTCTACCTTAAACCTGATGTTAAGGCGGCCAAAAGGTAAGCAAAACGGTTGTGTTTCTTTGTCAGGTTGCCGTGCATGTGTATCGAATTAAGAACATTCGTTAATGCACATAAATGCCATCAAATATTGAGATAGACTGCAAAACAGTCCGAATTTTTGCGTATTCAAGTACGCGCGAGCAGTCAAACAAAAGGTCTGGAACGAGGCTGAAAACAGGGAGCGAGACTGGGGAGAGACGCTAAAAATACGGACTGTCCGTTTTGCATACGTTATATTCGTTCGAATTACCCGCTTCTCCCAGCCACGGGCAATTCCCATTGGCTAAATTTCGATGCAAGCTGTCACCAAGCTGTCAAGTAATGTTTTCAACATGTCATTCACGTTGTTCCATACCGTGATGAATTGCTAAAGCTTTCGCTGTAAAATGACAGATGTTGATCGCCTGGATTTGCTCGCAAGAATTGGGATTTGTTTTAAAATCGGAGCAGAGGGAAGCTTTGGAGTTGCTACTCAGGGGAAAGGATGTTTTCTGTGTTCTACCAACAGGATTTGACAAAAGCCTTATTTATCGGATGTTTGTTCATGCAAAGAGTTCTTCAAGTTCCGTGCAACGGCCGACCGTCATTGTTATCTCGCCTGGCTAAAAAAGCGGGATCGGTAGGAAACACACGACTTTTACCTCATGCAAACATGCCTCTTGTTCCAATGAATTGTTTTCTCTGTCGAGTAGATTATGCTTTGGAGGAAAACGTTTTGACTGAGCAAATGTGAATTTTGGCCGCTTATTAAATATATTTCATACTGAGAGGTCGTGACACGCATATTGATTTTCTCTGGTAGGCATGATTTGCCCTCTGACCCAAGAGCATTTTCTTTCTTGGCCCCTTTAGAAATGTAAAGCTCTTCATTGCGGCTGATTAAGGGTTTAGGTTGTTTTATTTCTCCAAAGTGCCTCCTGGATTTGAATAATTTTAAGCGATTTTCTTTGTGTCCGTGAATGTGACTTTTCCTGCAATGTTTTGTCACGCTGGGCCCAGCTCGTTAGCGTTTTTGGCAGGATTTTAAATTCTCACAGATAGTAATTTACAGAGCTAAATCACCAAGACGTGGTTTGGAATGAGGGGATTTACTCATTCTTTTCAATCGCAATAATTGTTCATTGTCAGATGGCGTGTTCAGTTCTTCTCTAATTTGCGAAAGCATCGCCGTGCAGTTTCCCGGGGCAATTTCTAACCGTTGTTCCGCACGGAGAGCAAACTGCTCTTGTGGAGAAAGATTCTCCTTCCTCGAGGACAACGAAAAGTTCGTTTTTCAGTAGGTCGGCCCACTTTGGTAACGTTTCCCCTTTTCTGGTAGGCGCAACAAACGCATTTTCCGAGCTTATCCATCCATTCGTAAAATTGCCGAACTGTGTTTTGAAACAACAGCCACACATTCTACAATTTGTCCAAAGCCTCTGCTCTTTCGGCTTTCTCCCTCTTCGAGGAGCAGGCACAGGCTTTGTTGTCGTACTGCCACTTTCACTCATTTTTGATCCTCCACTATATATACTACATTTCATTACATACACTACATTTCACAGGGAAGCAACGCTAAAAACTGCTTTAGAATTACTGGATTTCAGCGTCAATAATAACACGCGAGTCTATCAAATTCACATAGAGGGCGGACTTGCGAACAGATTTTTGACAGCTCGACGACATTTTTGAACCCCCTGGTCGGAACGAACTCATTGTATGGAAAACGGACAGTCGGTTTTTTTTCTCTCGCCTCACACGCCCTTCGGACGTGTGAGGCTCGCGCGCTTCGCGCGCGTAAGACTCTTACGCCACCCTTTACCGATTTCTTTACTGATTTTGAGAAAAAAACCGACTGTTTTGCAGTCTAATATTGAGACGATTGAAAACAAAAACTCCCTCCATAAATAATGCACTCTGGTCTCTTAGCGGAGTGAACTCAGAACTGACTTCATTCGGTATGCTCGCTTGCAATGTTGCCCAGGTTTGCGCGCTCTGGAATATTTCCGTTGGAACCAATTTCTCTTTTGTTATGTGCTCACCGGCACGGGAAACCTCCTCGATCTATGATCATTTGGAAGGCGTTTAGCAACTGTGCAGATGTCTGTTAGGATTGGAAAAGGTAGGAAGATTTTACGTTTGTACTACCCGTATATTGATGTATTTCGCGTCCGTTATAGTAACTGTTGTTTTTAGACCTTTTTAAAAAAGGCAACATCCAAGTGTGCCGTTGCATTTCAGTGCTAACGTCTGTGTAGTAAATTGTAGTATAGCGGGGTAAATCGCGAACGGCTATCATTCTTTGACTTTCATACCAGTATCTGTTTTGACGCTGAGGCATTTCTTGCTCTTAAAGCTTTTTATCGTATAAATTGTAAGAGCTCTGTTAGCAAATTTTTTCATATCTTCGAACACAGTGACTCAGAGATTCATAGATGACGTCATATCTATGTGGAACACAAGCAGAGACAAAATAGAGGATTTCCTTGTAAAGGCAAACAGTTTTCACCCAACGATCAAATTCACGGCTGAAATCTCAGAAACAGAAACCACATTCTTAGACACGAAGGTGTACAAAGGTGACAGATTCAAAAAGGAATCTATTCTTGACGTGCGAACGCATTTCAAAGCTACAGAAACCTTTCAATACACGTGTCACCCACGAGGCATCACGAAAGGCTTTATAAAAGGAGAAGCGTTAAGGCTTCTGAGAACAAATTCCTCTCAATTTACTTTTGAGGAAAACATGAGTAATTTCAAAACACGCCTGCAGAATAGAGATTACCCAGCTAGAATTGTAGAAAAACACCTTTCACAGATTAAATTCTCTGATAGAGAAATGTCGCTAGCGCAGAAAAACAAAACCGCACCTAAGAAAATACTGCCCTTTGTAACACAATACCATCCGGCTTTGCCTAACCTAAAGGACACACTCATGGGGAAATGGCACCTTATAGAAAACCAACCGCAACTAAGAGAAATCTTTAAGGAGCCCCCCATCATCTCATACCGTAAGGGAAAATCCCTAAAGGACATCCTAGTTAAAGCTAAGCTATGAAGGCTTTATTAGAATTTATTCATCCGCGAACTGTAGGAGGCGTGTAGGCTTGTCAACACTTTTATCACTGTTCAACTGCGCTTCGATTCTATAACTTATAGATGTCACACGACCATCGCATGCACGACATCAGGTTATATGCCTTTATAGGTGATTGTCTGACTGCAAAACAAAACATTCCTGACTTACATACGACTATTGGCTTTTGCTGCGAAACTTTGCACCCGTTCTGGTGTGAAACTTTTACGGTGATTGCCTGACTGACTACCTACGACTACTGGCTTTTGCTGCGAAACTTTGCACCAGTTCTGGTGTGAAACTTTTACGGTGATTGCCTGCCTGACTGACTACCTACGACTACTGGCTTTTGCTGCGACACTTTGCACCAGTTCTGGTGTGAAACTTTTACGGTGATTGCCTGACTGACTACCTACGACTACTGGCTTTTGCTGCGAAACTTTTGTGGTGATTGTCTGACGACATACCATTATAGCTTCTTGGCTACAGAAAGAATGAGTGAGTAAGATCAAACTCAGGATGACAAGCTCTTACTAGTGCGGAGAAAAATACTACAAGAACACGTTATCAGTCTGGCTTTAAAAAGTAAACTGTTGCCATAGCATACTTGAAAACATGGACAGTATTGTTTTTTATACCGCAACAGAAAGGTCCTTGTTTGCTCTCAGGCGTTTAGATAGATAGATAGATAGATAGATAGATAATCTTTATTTATTCACGGTACAAAATTCGTCAGCTTTAAAAATGCCTAATACTAATATAATAAAAATATTTAAATAAAAAACCTGCTTTCCACGAATGCCGTGCCTTACAGTTCTTTGAGTAATCGTTTAAATTGCCCAAGGGACTCTGCTTCCCTTAAGTTACAAGGAAGACTGTTCCAGAGAATGGCGCCACTATAGCTGAAGCTGTTTTTGTAATAGTTTGTGCGCGGTAATGGAATATTGAGTTTATTTTCAGAGTCCCTTAGGTTATATGCGACTTCTCGCCTTTCAAATTTAGAACTAAGATAGTTTGGAGCCAACCCGTGCAGAGACCTGTAAACCATCGTAGCTCTTTGAAATTGTTGCTGGCAAGCTAGGTTTTTCCACCCTAGAAGTTTGAAAAGGTGACCAGCATCTACGTCATAGCTTGAGTAGGTCAAAACACGGGCTGCTCTGTTTTGTAGCTTTTGAACCTTATTCCGTAAGGTTATCCCACAGTTTCCCCAAACAATGTTGCAATAATCAAAGTGTGGCTGTATTAAAGCTTGATATATTAGTTGTAAGGTCGCCTGAGGGACAAGGTGCCTTATTCGTTTTATGGCCCCAATATCAGAAGCGACTTTCTTTGTTACTTTCTCGATATGGCCACTCCAAGTCTGTCATCGATGGTCACTCCAAGTGATTTTGCAGTAGTGACCTGACTAACTTCAAAATCATTAATTGCAAATGTCGGGGACTCTGTGAGAGTACTTAGCCTCTGCCTAGATCCGATAAGCATAAATTCGGTTTTAGTCATATTTAGAGTAAGTTTGTTTGCTCTCAGCCAATTGTGAACATTTTCTAAATCTTGATTTAGATGCAACTGAATATTGTCTGCATTATCACCTGCGTACGTAAGGTGGGTGTCATCAGCGTACATCCTCGGCTCACAGTTTGAAAGACAGTTTGGAAGATCGTTGATGTATAACAGAAATAATAATGGACCTAAAATCGTCCCCTGGGGTACACCACAACTTAATAAACAGCTTTGAGAGAGCGATCCGTTGATGGAGCACATTTGAGTACGATTCTCTAAATACGACTTAAACCATTGGTGCGCGTTACCATATATGCCGTAATTGCTTAATTTTGATAAAAGGATCTCATGGTCAACTGTGTCGAAGGCCTTTTTGAGATCTAAGAAAACAACGGCGTTGATTTTACCGCGGTCAATATTGTACGCCCAAGTGTCCGTGGCCTCAAGGAGAGCCGTAACAGTTGAGTGAATAGCGCGAAAGCCTGATTGATATTTACAGATTATATTGTGCTCTTCTAGGTAGGCATATAATTGATCATAGACGATTCTTTCAAAGACCTTGGCCATAACTGAGATCACCGAAATTGGACGATAATTGTTTAAGTCGTCCCGATCGCCTTGTTTAAAAGTGGGGTGACCTTTGCGCATTTCCAGTCATCCGGAAATATGCCTTGACTTATTGACTGGTTAAAAATATCACGGATAGGAATGCAAATGAGATCTGCACATTCCCGAATGAGCCTAGCAGATATCTTGTCAAGGCCAGCTGCCTTTGACTTGTTTAGACGATTCAAAAGTGAGAGAACTTTATTTGTACTGGTCGGATGGAGCTGAAACCGTTTATCTGTGCCAGTGAGGTACTTTTGATAACCATCACTATTTGAGGAATCAATATTGCTAGCAAGTTCTGGACCGATAGTAGCAAAGTGATTATTAAATTGGTTCGACAGCACAGTTGGATTTGTTATTGATACTCCATTTACTTTCAGAGATGTCACCGATTTTTTCCCAGATTTTCGCGAAGTAAGTTCATTGATAGTCTGCCAGGTCTTTTTAGAATCGCCCGTATGCTTGTTAAAACTATTTTGATAATAGGCTTGCTTGGCTAATCTGATTTCGCTATTTACTTTATTGGTTGTTTTTTAAAAAGTGACCAGTCATTTGAATCATTCGATTTACTTGCTTTAATCTTTAGAATATCCCGATCATGCATTCGTTTCTTAAGCTCAGATGTAATCCATGGGGAACTACGCGTGCGAACACGCATTGTCCTCAAGGGAGCATGCTTGTTAACAATAGATAGAAACGAGCATTTCCATTGTAGCCACATTTGATTGGGATCAGTTGAATTGTATATGTGATCCCAACAATGAGATGCAATATCATTCCGAAAATTTATTCGATTAAATTTTCGAAAGTTTCTGTAGGTTATAGCATTGTGCCCACCAGACATTCCATTCACGGATAATTTTCGATAGGCAAAAACTATGCTATGATCGCTAATACTGATATGACGAACCCCCGAACACACAACTTTATCTGGACAATTAGTATAGATTACATCAATCAAAGTTGCAGAAGTCGGAGTTATTCTGGTTGGTTCAGTGATAAGTTGCTGTAGACCATAAATATCAGTGATATTCATTAATTTGCATGTATTATTGTCATATCGAGTAGCAATCATGTCGCAGTTAAGGTCTCCCATTAGAAAATATTCATTATAACATAGCTAGAAAATTCGCCTAATCAAATTCAATAGCGCGAGCGTGCTTCATATTCCTATTGAGCACGCTGATGACGTCAATAAACTATTCGTAATTCCTCGAGTGGTTGTGAGCTTAGCAATCCTGAGTCTCCTGAGTTCATCCATAACTCAGCAATAGACAAGGAAGCGTTTACGATGTGTTTTATAAGGAAATTTAAGAGGAAACGTTTGAATTTGTTAACCGATAGTAAGGAAAAGAGGTGAGTGTTGTTGTTGTTGTTGTCATCTCCGCGAGCTGTGCGGGCTATGGCGTGAGTTCATTCTTTGCAAACTTGTTTTCTCTCAATAACAATTTTTCGGTAAATTAATAGTTTTCCGGCACCTAAATATGGATTTTATAATCATTTTAGAGTACACTTTCTCTCAGTTTCAGGATAAAAACATAAGATTAACTGTGAGGAAAAAAATATATAGTCACGTAAACATTGACGCGTACTGCTTTGAGCGCGCCCTACAATAATAAAATTATAAGTTAACTGATGCGTTGATCGCTTTGATGATGTTATAAAACAATTAGTTCATGCTGCAGCTGTGCGTATGTCGAGTTATTGAGCACTTGGGAAGTTTGGAGAGCACTCAAGAGGCTAGAGTTGCACTCGGCTGCGCCTCGTGCAACTCTTACGCCTCTTTCGTGCTCTCCAAACTTCCCGCGTGCTCAATATCTCGACATACGCACGCTGACGCATGAACTAATTGTTAAATATTTTCGGAATCGAGTTTCCCAATTAAAGTTTCGAAAGGTGAAAAAATACCAATAGGAGAATCAGGTGGTCTATACCACGTGGCAACAACAAACGGTTTAGATCTAGGTTTTTGAATTTCCAGACATAGATTTTCAAGAGTGTCCATGTTTAAATCATTTCGTATGGTAAAATTTATTGAACTTTTCACATAGAAACACACTCCTCCTCCACCGTTTGTAATTCTATCACGTCGAATTATATCATAGCCAGAGATGTTGACCTCATTGTCGCTAATAGTTTCATTGAGCTTAGTTTCATTAATCGATAAAATATCTATTTCGTTATACGCTAGAAGAATTCTAAGTTGATCTATGTGTGTGATTAATTTATTGATATTTAAAGAGGCTAATTTAAAACCTCGTTGAGATGGCAACACTGAGGTAGGCTCATGAGATTCCTCAGTATTGCGTTTTGTACATTGAATAGGCACGGCATCGGTGGATAGCGCATCATTTCAACCTAAACTCATCTGAAAGTTCTTAAAAAACTGTTGATTACCTTTAGAATTAAGATGTAGTCCGCCCTTGTTAAGTTCCTTTTCGGAGATGTTTTGATGCTGGATAAATTTCCATCCATTCTGCCGGCAGTAGAACTTCAGTTGTTTATTAACTGTTTTCACGGCTTCATTGAATCCGTCTCTTCTTTGCACGAGCTCAGATATAATTACTGTGGCATCGGATGAGTTTTCAATTTGTCTGGCGAGATCTACCACTGAGCCGGCAACTTGTTGTGGTTCTTTACTTTTGAGATCATTAGTGCCCACATGCAGAATTACTTGGTCCGGTGAAAGCTCCAAATTAGGTTTAAGGTAATCCTTCATAGCTTTGGTGGTGGCACCGGAGAACGATTTAAATGACGAAAGAGAAAACCATCCTCCCCACGTTGAAACTCGAGTTAAAGACTGCAAACGTTACCTTAATTTTAGGGTTCGTGATATTCAGCCGTAGCGGTTAGAAGTTTCCGACGGAAAGCCTGTTTACTCGAAACTTTCTATCGGTTCTGGTGTAAACTTTTTGTGGGGTAACAGTAGGCACGGCATACAATGCTAGCGATAAGCATGTTTCTACACTGAATTTGGGGTGATTTTGCAGAGGAGACCACACGTAGATCGAGCTTACTCGTTATGTTGTTTATTCTAAAACTTTATTTCGTCTCAGTCGATTATCGTTGGAAAAAATGCATTGGTCTTAAGGCTTAGCGGTGATCGCTTTTTTTTACGTGTTATTGTGTTATGGACAAAATTCGGGATCTTCTTTTTTATCGTTTACCTGGCAAACTCAAGACTACTCCTCAAGTCCACATTCCAAAACTGTAAGTACCGCTGAATGCCATTAGTTGGTATGTTATTGTTATGTAATACTTAGGGATAGGGAATAACATATACTAAACAAATACACTGATCTTTTCCCTATATCTCAAGAAAAAAAAAACGACAACTAGATAAAAGGGTGAAACAGCTTAAACACGCTTGTCTTTTATATTATGTAAATTTGACGAAAAGCAGATCTTGCCCACTGACTTACATGTTTTTCTTGGCAATGTGTTAAAGGAAACTTTGCTGGCTGGCTCATAACTTACTTCTGCTACCGCTGGCTGGCAAACACTGAATTCCGTTTCACTCTGACTGGGATTGCGTAATTTTTGTTTTTTTCACATTGCTGGCTGGCAAAAAACCGTCAAACATGATTGCTGGCTGGGATTTTTATTTTCTGAAAGTCTTGCTGGCTAGCAGTGAAGAGCGGGTATTTTTTTCCCAGGAAACTTAAATATTAACATAGGTTGACGTAAAGGCACTTTGCTAGCGTTTACGACATCGTATAATCAATTTTGCGAAAAAAAGTTCGTTGGGTACTCCTGGCAGGAGCAACGCTGATGTCACCAACAGACAATTCTGCTACTCTAACCTTTTCAACTTCATAGTCGTTATCACAGTCTGTCAAATAAAGACCACAAATAAAAAGCAGAGACTTTTCATGTAATTCAAGAGCGGCATCGTTTACTTGTGCCGCCGGGTATATAATTTGGCTCTCAAAGACAAAAAATTAAACCCGTTTTCAGTTATTCTTGTCTGTATACACTTTAAGAAGCAAGAACATAAGATTGACTTGACGCCGAACGTTAGAAACGTGCAATTGTTCCTAGCAAAAATCACCGTCGTAAGTATGTATGTATGTATGTATGTATGTATTTTTGCAGCATATTTTTCTTTCCTTTGGACAGTGTTTGGTTGTGTTTTTTATTCACGGAACTTGACAGACTAAGAGTCTTCTCGCTTTTTGTGGCAATGGAAAATTTCCTACTGCGAAAATAAGCCTAATCGTTTGCCAACCGAAGAACTTCAAATATTATAATTTATGCTTGCCGTTTGTCATGGTTTGTGTTGCTACGAGTGTTATGACTAAGGGCCTGTTTACATGGAGGTGGGGGACCCCAGGTAGGTGAGGTAACCCGCCTGTATAATCTCTCGTTTTACTTGGATCAAGCGGATGATTTCCTTCAGAACCCGGGCTGAAATCTCAGCCAGTTGCCATGTAATCATCCTCTAAGTAAAACAAAATTATGTTGAAAACTAAAAAATACTATTTGATTTATAAAAAGCGCCGTTTTATCTTATCTTACGTTTTATCTCCACAACAATTGTAGCAATCGATGAGATCTTTTTTTTTCATAAATCACAGGAAATTAATTAGGATCGCGCATACATGTACTTTAGCAATGAGCTGATGATTACAGCTGTATTCTATAGTATTTAAGAATTTTTGAAACAAAAAAATTCGTTTCGCCAGACGAAATGTCGTCTTGACTAATCGGAATTTCGTTTCGATTCGAGCAAACGAAGAGACGAAATTTCTTCTCACGCAGCGAAATTTCGTTTCGGTTCATCATCAAGCTTGCGAAATTTCGTCAACGTTAGAACAATAGATGCATTAAGACTTAGCCACTTTTTCGTCTGAATGGAAAGTTCACAATTTGTTCGATTTCGGCGACATCCGCTTTCATTTCTTTTGCACAATACTGTACATCAACCTGTTCTCAAAGTTGGCGTTAGTAAAACTCAGAGGTTAGAGCATCCGATCTAGAACACGGAGGGTCGTGGGTTCGAATCCCATCTGGGGCTCAGATTTTTTCTGTGTCCTCTTATGGTTGATTCTTTACATCTCCCTTTATTTCCTTTATAAAAAGTTTTAAACAAAGCATTAGTAAATAGCTCAGCGCAAAATTCAAGGGTAGCTGCATGACTTCGGCTTCTCGAGGCACTAGTTTCTTTAAGTAAAGTTAGCTGCTATTAGGCTTTGAAAGATTGTGCTACAACCAGTTGCAAAAGTACTTGAGACACCGTACCGTATTTTGGCATAAATGGCCTGTCCATGATCTTGTGCTTGTGATCCCCCCTACACCCCTTATCAAAGTTGCTAGCAATAAAAGACCATACTACAAAACTTGGAGGAACAAATTTGAATGGGATGTTTATTTATGGAAGGAAAGTAACGTAAGATGTCCCGCTAGATCAAGGAGATAGCTTTTTGTTGTTGTTTCTGATAAGTACGTGGACGTGGTTCCTCTTTTATCGCCTGCCATTTACAGGACAGAAAAGTTATGCTAAAAAGCAGCTGTTGTCGAATTTACTTTACTTAACACAAGTTTGGATTTTTGTTTACTCTTTGGTCGTCTTACAACTTTGTTTCCATTTTAAACCCCGAGTGTGGCTAGGCAATCAGATAATGAAAATTCACGCGCGTATTTCAGTAACACAGTCGCGAGAGCTCGCATATAACGTGGATTTGCAGTTCTGTGCTCGGTAAGGAAATTTATTTCTTTGCAAAAAGGAAGACACTATCCCCAAGAAAAAGCAATTTTCCAGCACAGCAAGGTCAGGAATTTACGTGCTTCAACGGTGTACACGGTCTACCATCAAATGAGATAAATATAATAAAATATCGTATTTCTTATTGTTGCAGAATGGTAGACCGTGGATGATGGTAGACCGTCAGAAAATAGAAATTAACATAGCACACAACTTTTTCTGCTCTCTAGCTCTAGCGGACTTTAATAACCATCTTATTTTCGCCGTAGTAGATGAAAAAAACTAAACGGTTTTACTTTAACAGCGATGTTGAAAAATAAGTCACGTGGTATACCGATTACATAACGCCATTGCATATCAAATGCCGTTGAGTTACAGATACAGGGGTGAAAATGAAGGTTTGGCAGCTTTATTCGCAACTATAGTATCTCTAAATACCAAGAAAAGGAAAATTATGCTGTGATTCTGCACTCGCGCTTCTCAGAGTTTAATGTCAACGCCGAAACTTTAAGCTATGTCACATTAGATAATGGCGCATGCGTTACAACAAAACTGAGGCAAAATTTACAAGTCACTACATTCTTAAGCGCTTTTTTAGGCAGTTTGCTATCAATGACAATGATGTATCGGCTGGGAAAAGCAACACAAAGTGCCATTCTATTTATTTATGTCGCTACAGTCTTCGTTTTGGGAATTTAAGACGTGGAGATCGCTTGTTGAAGTAAACCTTAAATGAGACAACCAGTTGCAAAAGTGCTTGAGACACTGTACCGTATTTTGGCATAAATGACCTGTCCATGATCTTGTCCTTGTGATCCCCCCTACACCCCTTATAAAGTTGCTAGCAATACAAGACCATACTCAAAACTTGGAGGAACAACTTTGAATGGGAGGGAGGAGGGAGGTCAGTATCATATTTTACAGACCTGTGACCAGGAGCGATTTGAAGCAAGAAAGGTCGTTTTTCCGTGGGAGTGTGTCAACATCTTTGCAACTGGTTGTAGCATAATTTTTGGCATAATTTGTCATCACAAGCACTATTTTCACCTATTTTCCGAAAAATAGCACTCGTCTGCTGGCATATTTGCACTTTTATCTAGTTTAAATTTGCAGTACAAAATTGTCATTTATTGATCATGCAACCGAACCGAGCTCAATGTTACAGGCAAATTGACGTAACGAAATCAATTTTTTCTCTTCAGGAAGTGACCCAGGACTATTTGCACAGAACTCAATGCATGCGCATATCTAATTCAGTTAACCAACTGAAGATGGCATCCGCGTGCTGGTTGTTAATAGTTGTCAGACAATGAATTATGCACTCTTAAAGTTTCTAGATGTAAATAGGGTGAACGGGTTTGCCATTTACTTGTACACAGTAGAAGCTATCAGTATTTCTGGATTTTTGACTAGCGTAATTCAAAATAAAAGAGACTAATAAATGGCATAATTTTAGAAATAAACGAACATTGCTAAGTAGAATATTATGCCACTTTTGCGAGCAAAAGCTGTCAAAGCCTAACTGACGAGTTACGAGTCTTCATTGCCAATATCATCACGGCTAAACTGACAGACGACCAATA